GACTTGGAAGGTGATGCGAGTGTTAGAAAATTACGATGTGGAAAGCAACAGGTTAGAGAAGCAGTTGATGATGATAATCCATCTGCCATTTGTTTGTTTAAAAAAGAAACTCATGTTGCGAAAGCTACGCCCAAGGGGGTTGGTAGAAGTGTGAAAACCTTGGAGGGTATAGTTAAAGAGTTAGATGATCATTTCTTGAAAGCATCGGCATGCATAAAGGAAATTGCTGTTCTCATTGATATCAGCAGCGGAGATACTCTTCTGCGGCAGAATTCTGGGCGTATTCATAGTAAGCCTACATTCATTTTCATATTGTGTCCTTTGGATTGTTGAAGTTCATCTTGACATCATTTTTATATTACTGTGTCATGTTTTTTGTAGGCAAGAGAACCAATTCTGCAAGGGTGTTTAGTGTACTGTCATGGAGTAGGCATACTAAGTCGCCTACATTCACCAAAGATGACGCCGACTTTTCTAGTCCTAGTGAACCATGCAGGCCTGGAGCTCATTGTGCCACGCTTAAAAAACTATATGCCGCAGAGAAGAAACTTTACAAAGCAGTCAAGGTAAGCCAGTAATAAAACAAATGGACAGTTTATGATGCTGATGTTATCTGTGTTTAGTGCAAATTTGATGCAAAAAGTCATATATTTAATTGCCCTGCATAGTATATTATAAAATTTCAGCCATAGTGTGCCACAAATATTAAAGGTTGCCATATAATAGAATGTCCTGTAACTACTGTGTGCACTAGCTGCAATGTAGATTCCCCTATCCCAACTTAGTTGCAAAATCAATGGAAACTGATCCATTGAATTTAGGGACCGACTAACTGAATTGGTTAATCTTGCAAGACTATAAATAGCCCTACACTCAGTCTATTAAACATAGAAAATAAATGAAATAAAATCAGAAGAAATTAGTTAAGAGTTTCTCTCTGCATAATCAATGATCTACGTAGAAATTATATGAAATAAAATTAGAAGAAACTAGTTAAGAATTTCTCTACATAATCAATGCTAATCCACAAGATTAAAAGTAATTATGGTCTACTTGCGCTGGGCCGTCAGTGCAATGCTGGTTGTCTGAATAGGACAACCATGGAGAGCAAAACACTTAGCAATAGTGTGGCCGAGCTTGTGGCAATGATCACACTTAGGAGGAGGTATACCATGATTATGACTTTGAGAATCAGTAACATCCACATTCAAACATGGTTTTGCTGGTATACGCAACAAGGTAGAGGATCCAGAGGTCAAAGTAGGTATAACCTGAGAATTCAGAATTGGATCGCGAACCAAAGAATACTCCATAGGTAACCCGCACAAGGCCAATATCATAAAAAAAATTCTCTGTTCAAATGCCTCTGTAGATGAGTTAGTCGGAGGCAAGATTTCATTGAAATCGTGTAAGATACCTTGAATTTTATCTAAATAGTCAGCCATGGAACAACCAATTCGTCTCGGGGAAACAACATTCAGGAGATTCTTGCGAATCTCGTATAGCCTTTGAGTATCGTTGATGTAAGAAATCTTGGCCGTCTTCCAAACAGACACACAAGTTATAAGAGTTATGAAGAAATTCTTCAGGGAAGAATCAATGGTGGATTTGATGATGATACATAGTTGAGCATCAATCATTACTCAACGATTGCGGTCTGATTCGGGCACGGATTCAGGGTTGTTGGTGAGATGATCCTCATGATCTTGAAACCTAAGCCATTGTTTGATGTTTGATAACCATGTATGATAGTTGGTGGCATCTAACTTGTCAGTGAAGAGTGGAACACTGACATAGTTTTTGAAATAAGGATATCAGCTTGTGAAGGGTCTGAACCAGCCATGTGCCTAAAACCCTTTTTAACTAAAAGGGATGAGAAATTGGTCTCCAAAGTGGACGTGATGTTATTACTCGGCAGTGCTTTGCGGCGGCATAAGGCTGCCGGAGATTGATTGAAAAGTATACGGGTCTAATAGTCTACTATAGTCTAATATATATCTTCTGTGTTGGGTGCATTTAATCAAAATTTGATGAACTTCCATATATTGCACTTAATAAAGTTCTTCTTATAATTAAAACATTGCATTTGTGTATGAACTTTTTTTTCTCACTGCTCAAATGTCATATAATACAGGAGGAGGGATTTACCAAATTAGAGTTTGAGAGGAAGTCCTCGTCATTGCAAAAACAAGAGGATGAGAATCTTGACTTGGTCAAAATCGACAAAATTCGATTAAATGTTAAGAAGTTGGAGTCTGATTTAATAAGCCTCCGGCAGTGCATCAGTGAAACATCATCATCAATTTTGGAACTTATAGACGAAGAGCTCCTACCACAATTGGTTGCATTAACTGCCGGGTATATTTCTCTGACTTGGTTACATTATTACTAGTGACGACTCTTTGTCGTATCCGGTGTATATGTGAATCATATCCTAGGTTTTGATTTAAACTCTTGTTTGTTTTGTAGATTGTCACAAATGTGGTCGATAATGCATGAGTGCCATAAGTCTCAGGCTCTGATCTCTCAGCAGTTGTGTAACCTCAGTGATAACCATAACACAATTCTAAGTTCCGAATACCATCACCAGGCTACAATTCAGTTTGAAAGCGAGGCCTCCTATTGGTATAATAGCTTCTGCAAACTTGTGAAATCGCAACGAGAGTACGTGGGGACCCTTAGTAAGTGGGTTCAGCTTACAAACTGCCTCAGGGATGGTCATGAAAGCGGCAATCACTCTTCTATTCGCACCATCTGTGAACAGTGGGAGCTTGGCCTTGATGGATTATCTGATAAGGTACTTTTTTATTCTTTTTCTATATTACAAACGATTATATTTTACAAGTGAAATGATAATAATTTTCCGGCGCTGTGGTATATGATTACAGGAGGTTGAGGATGCGATAAAAAACCTTTTGATATCCATCCGTTCGATAATTGCTCAACAGGCCGAGGAAGATAACATTCTGAAAAAGTTGGAAAAACTTGAAAGAAAGTTGCACAGGTGTTCGGCATCCCTGGCTGCAATACAGAAAAAAATGGAATGGAACTTCGAAGAAGATGATGGCGATGTAGCTAATATAAGCCCGAAACATCCACTATTTCAAAAAAAAGCTGAAACAGAAGCCTTGAAGAAGCAGGTGGAAAGTGTGAAAGCAGATTATTTGGATTCTGTTCAATGTAGTAGGACTATGACTCTAGATAACCTCAGAATTCGACTTCCTCATCTCTTCTTGTCACTAATGGAATTTTCAAGTGCTTCATCTCAAGCAATTGAGGCTATAAATTCTCAGTCAAGCCAATAGAATGCAGTGACTTTATGACAAAACATGTTCACTTTTGTGCTGATATGAACAAATACATTATGTAAATTGTGTTTCTAAAATGTTTGTAAACTGAAACAATATTGTGTTTCTAAAATGTTTGTAAACTGAAACAATATTGTGTTTCTAAAATGTTTGTAAACTGAAACAATATTGTGTTTAACCTTTATATTGACTCTTTTGAGTAGTATGATCCTAAAACAACTTTTGAGTGGAGCAATTTGAAAGATAATACTTACATTGTGAAAGAGAAAAAATTCTTAGTTTTACATGTTTGTAATTTCATTTGAGTAATAACAATAATATATCAATAAAAGTTGGTGTGATTAAAGTTTCTTAAGTTTAAGAGTAATTGATTATGAACTGGCCGTTGCTATTTCGACCTATGGATAAAGGAGTAGTATAGCCTTCGAGTACATGTTCGCTTTTCTGCTAATATGAACAAATACATGTTATAAATTGTATTTCTAAAATGTTTCTTAATTGAAACAAAATTGTGTTTAGCCTTTATATTGGCTCTTTGTAGTCCTTCCATCCTTAAACAATTTTTCTGTGGAGCAATTTGAACGATTAATATTTGAATTGTGAATGAGAAAAAAAAAATCTCAGCTCTACCTCATCCTGTGTTTCATTTTAGAGTAATAAAGAAGATATCATTTTAGAGTAATTAAAAAAATATATCAATAGTTTTTGAAGAGATTAAAGTATCGTAAGTTAAACTACTTCTAATGTAAAAAAAATGTTTATTTATTTTAATACCGTTTTATAATAATAAGGTCTTATTTGAGGTATTTGCTATTCTTAAAAAAAAATTGTTAGATGTATAGATTTTAATGATAATATTAAATATTATTTATTAAAATGTTCTTATTATTAATTATAGTTTATTGAAATAGTTGAATAAAAATGAATGTCAATAAATAAGAGTATATTGTATGAAGATTATAAAATTTTGAGATAGAGAAAGACAGAAAAAATACAAATAAAACACTTATTACTCTTAATTTCATAAATTTGACTTGCATTCTTTTCTCGATCACAAAATAATTTCCTTTTAAATACTAATGCAAGAGTTATTATTATTTTTTTCTATTCCTATGTTTATTAATTTTCCCTATATTCAATTAGTCCACTTATATTGTTAAATAATACTAATGTTATCATTAATATTATATTCAATTATTCCACTAACTATAATTATATTTATCATTATTATCATTAAAAAATAATTAATTAATTAAATATAAAAAGTTACTAAATTAACTTTGATTTAGGTGTTATAATTTCTTCTAATAAGTTAACAACTTTTTTATATACACGATAAAAAAAATTGAAACAAAAGCAGTAATTTAGGTGAAAATATGGCAATCCAAACATCTGACAAAAAAACTACACTAATATCATTAAGGATTGAGTCCCACCAGATGGAATTGACCCCCCAAAAAGAAAGTTAATTATATTGTTAACAACAAAATGTTTCATTGAGGAATCTAGATTACCAAAATCCCTAGAATTCAAAAAATAATTTTCGTCAAAATCTTGAAACCTACCCTTGATCGGGTATTATAACTATCTTCGATATCTAGATTCTGCGACTTTTTGGAACCTTCCCTTGAATCAACATGTACTAGAACAATAACTGTGTAAAAATTAAATCAGGGACATAGAATTGATCCCTTACTTCTCACTGTGTTTTCTTTTGAGTGATCCACTAACAGCAGCTTTAGCTTTTGCCCACTCTTTCAGTGAAGCGGCACTTCTCATAAATAAGCAAGTTTCTCCTATTTCAACATTTGCACTGGATCCTTCCCTTGAACTTGTTTCAACTGTTTTCTCAACTACTGGAGCAGAAACTAAATCATAAGCGCCAGAATGCTTACTATTCTTCGGTACAATCTCCCCTAAGTTGAAGCCATCATTGACAGTTCTACTAATAGTATTCTTATCAGCACCATTATGCTTGCAATCATTGGAATTGGCAGGGTACAAAATTGGCTCCTTGGCTGTTTGTTCTAGGAAAGTGATGTCAGGCAAAATTTGTGAAATGCTAAATGAATTGTTATCCTTATTTACCAGTTGGGTCCAGGATTCCTTTTGCATCCATGCAGAACCTCTGCCGGTTATTTTTGGACCCGTCTTATCCTGAGTTTCAGCAGGTTCAGTCATCAATTGTTTAGTGGTAGGTTGAGCTTCAGCAGGTTCTTCTAGCACTGGTGAATTGGTAGGTTGAGATTCAGCATGCTCTTCTATCACATGTGCATTGGTAGGTTGAGCTTCAGCAGGTTCTTCTGTCACTTGAGCATGGGAAGGTTGAGATTCATCACTTTTCATGTCTTCAGGTTGAGATTCATCACTTTTCATGTCTTCAAGTTGAGATTCATCACTTTCCACGTCTTCAAGTTGAGATTCATCACTTTCCACGTCTTCAGATTGAGATTCATCACTTTCCACGTCTTCAGGTTGAGATTCATCACTTTCCACGTCTTCAGGTTGAGATTCATCACTTTCCACGTCTTCAGGTTGAGATTCATCACTTTCCACGTCTTCAGGTTGAGATTCATCACTTTCCACGTCTTCAGGTTGAGATTCATCACTTTCCATGTCTTCAGGTTGAGATTCATCACTTTCCACGTCTTCAGATTGAGATTCATCACTTTCCACGTCTTCAGGCTGAGATTCATCACTTTCCACGTCTTCAGGTTGAGATTCATCACTTTCCATGTCTTCAGGTTGAGATTCACTTTCCATGTCTTCAGTTTCATCATTTGTAGATGAAGAAGTGCAAGAATCATCAGAATTTTGTTGATCTTTATCAGAATCATACTTCGGCAATATGAGAGAGGCGCTGAAGGAAGCATTGCCTCCTTTACCAACAAGTTCTTTCCATGAAGACTTCTGCGACCATGAAACATTACCCAATTCCCCAAGATCATATCCTGGTTCAGTAGGCTGTTCGCCAGATCCCAGCTCATCTATAAGGGTCTGCATTTTACTCTTGCCAGCAGGGGCACTAGACACACCTTCATTGCTGTTGCTTTCTGATTTGGGAAGTGGTTTTCTCTTCTTGACCTTGTCAGGATTTTTGTTGCTCCTCTGCACATCAATGGGTTCTTCCTCTGCAATATTTGATTTATTGGACCATTCCTGAAGACCAAACAATAACAATTACTCCCTCTGTCCCACAAAAATTATCACATTCGCAAACAAAATTTGTCCCAGAATGAATGTCACTTCCAATTTACCCTAATTAATACAATGTGCATAACTCGAAAGGCAAGTCAATATCAGTTTTAATTTTTTTGCAAAATTTTATTTTAAAACAGAATAGATAAAGTTTACTGAAAAACCTAAAACTATATGTATTTAAACATATATTTTTGCATACATAACTATTAACTTATATAAACAAATAAAATATCTAATAATGTATTGTATCATTTTACATTTATCAGCTAGTTCATCAGTTAATTTTACTAAAATACTTTCGATTAAATAAACTACCTTGACAGATTTTTAACATTATTAATTTCTCAACTTTCAACTAGCTTATCAACTTGTCAACTATTTAAGCCAAACTAACCTATGAACTAACCTTATTTTATGAAGTCCCCCTCCCCAAATTAAAAAGAAATGACATGCAACTAACCTGATTTTCCAAGATCTTTTCAAGTTCTTGGGTCTCTGTTAAAGCTGCTTTCCTTTTCTTCGTTGCAATGTTGATTATGAGACCATCATCATCGTCATCATCGTCATCAACATCTGTTGCACTTTCTACTTCACCTTTATTAGATTGTAAAGCATTTGGAGATTCAAATGAATCATGCTTCTTTCCAAGTTGCTTGGTGTTTGAAACCTTCTCTTTTTCAAAAAGCTTGTTCATCACAGCATTCATGATGTTAATTTCCTCATCATTTATTCCACCAGTTTCAGCTGCCGTATTCATAGATAACTTTTCACTTTTAGTGATAAAAGGACTACAATGTTCCTCACAATCACAAAAATGCACAGGGAGAGGAGGAACTTTAATATTCTGGAAACTATATTTGTGCTTGCCAGTTCCACTGAATGGTATGGATTTCACCTGCACAGCAGAACAGGTATGTTAGTAAAGTGCAAAATTAGGTCAGGTGATTTAGCAATGAAATATTTATGCAAAAATAAATTCCAAAGATTAAACAACCAATATTTGGATATAATAGGTTATGAAAGAAATTCAAAAATCAAAATCATTCCACTGAAAATGCATTATAGATATCTTACAGAATGACATTTTTATCAGTAAAAGAACATAGTATTTTTAGCAAGTATAACATTAATGAGGGTGACAATTTTCCCCAACAAGGACGCAGCAAGGAAGAGGAGCTTTAGCTACAAGACAAGGAAAGTGAAACTGTATGCAAATAGCAACAAGAAAGAGAGAGCGGATGTTTAAAGATCAAACATTTTCTACATTCTGGACTACTAATGATTATAATACTGACTACTAATTCCCCATAAATAGTCTAGATATAAACGCATTAATCCATCATTACTGGGCTATGTTTTTAATCCTAAACTATTGCAGGGCCACCAATTTAAACAACAGATGGGGTGTATTTTGATTACATTTAAATGATTTTGATAGGATGTACTTTGATTACATTTAGAACTTTTTTTGATGGGGAATTATTATGTTGGTTATATTTTATTAAGTATGATTGTCCCTTTAACTATGTATACTACTCTATTTTTGAGTATTTATGCATCTTGTTGGAATTTATGATTATTATTATGTACATTGTTTTTTAGTCTTTACAATATCAGCTTAACCGCTATCCGAGATTAACAACATAGCTGAGTATTATGATGTTGCAATAAATCTCTAGACACTTGGTTATTATGCAATGCAATCAGACCCTTGGAATGATGTTTAAATTTATTTTGTTCTTCATTTGGCTTACAGTTTCCGATCCTATTTTCTAAATTTGGTATGCATGGCCCCAATGGCCTTACCTTCAGCAAACATTCTCTCATACTCATTACTCAATCAAAATCTAGGTTAACTCTTCATTTGATTTACTCTAACATATATTGGTTAGATTGTTGCCTCAAAGATACATCAACCTATATTACCTAACCATAATTCCTCCTTCCGATTCGATTTCCAACATACCACACACTCCCTCACCCTCAAACTATTCACAATACCCTTCAAGCCACCAGTTTTCTACACTAGTTAGTTTCACCCTCGAAATCATTCCAAAACCCTAGTTAGTTTCACCCTAATCATTCCAAAATCCTTCTATCACAACTATTATCTGTAACTGCAATCATGGCCTGAACATAAAAGTTTTTTATGCCTAAGAACTCGCAGCTGTGACCCTATCTCTTTAACAGCAAATGTCTGCAATATATCAATAATCGCAGCACACCTGCAGTTCAAAACTTGACCAAACCTATATTAACACCATATAAAAGCAAAGAGCAATCTTCCATAGACTTTTCTCCAAAAAGAAAAAACAATAAATCGTATACAACATACTAAAATAAATAGAGAGTAAATAGGCAATATTAATAAGTTACCGTTCTTAATCTTGGGAAGAAAATATTAAGAGGCTTTGCATCTGAGTCCAAAATGCGTCTTGAATTAGGCTTTTCCTTTACCAAATCCTCCTTTTGAGTAGAAATCTCAGTAGCCGGTGGTTCGATACTAAGAATCTTGTCTTCTTCCCATTCTTTTTTCAGCCGATCAAGGTAGTGCTCTTTAGCCTTTTCAAGTCTAAGCTTTCCACCTTTCCACACACACCCATTATACTGCAAATGCCAACATAATCATTACTTTTTGAAAAAACATATGAAGCAAATGAAATTAAATTTAGACTATTTGATTGATGGAACTGAACGGAGCAGAATATAAACCCCTCCTTGTTCCACTCCTTTGCATACACCCCAAATTGGATGAAATAAAAAATGGAGGATAATTACATCACGTCCATTCCATTACATCCATAATTTGCAAAACCAAACAATGGAATCACATTATTTACCGCTACATTTTATTCCATTCCACCGTACACCACTTATACAAACATACCCTAGGAATTAGACCTCTTTGGATAAACAATTAAACATGGCATAAAACTTTGACCAGTATCAAAATTAAACTTGAAATTTAATCTAATAACAAAAACACGATGGAATTGACTAAGTGGAGTGATGTATGTTGCTACCTTGCTGAAAAGTTTGGAAAGGGATTTAGGATCGGAGAGGAAGTCGAGGTAAGCGAGGCTGCGACCTTTGGTTCGGATGGTTTCGATTGATTGAACGGTGCCCAATGATTCGAATAGCCGGCGAAGGTCTTCGGTGGTTACGGCTTCACCCAATCCTCCGACGAATATTCTCACTGCTCTCTTCTCGATTTCTTCTTCCTCCATGCTTGTGAAGCGCTGTGACCCAAAACGTAGTAATAGGGTTTTACGGCTTATTTGGTTGGGGTGAGGCAGGGTTTAGCGACGCCGTTTTAACTGATGAAAATGGTAGTATGCACCTACGAATACGGTGAGTAAGCAAATATTAAAACTCCAAAAATTTTGTTCTTTCACTTCTTATATACGAGATTAAAATAAAAGTCAAACTCTTTGAAATATCTAATAATTATAATTAACTACCAATATAAAATCATTTTTCATTAACATTGTATTTCAATTTCTTTTTACCAATAGTTTTTTCTTTTTGCATGAAATTCAGTTAAATTTAATTTACCTTTAGGTTCACATGGCATGACTTAAGGCTTTTAAGGTTTAGACAAATATTTATAGATTAGTCATAAAAGAAATATGATTAGGAAGTTGAATGGGGTAAAGATTTTTGCTAATGAAATTATATGTGATTAAATTATTGTGTTAGTATGTATATGCATCATAGCGTGACTTAGGAATGTGTGTTTGTGTTCTGAATAGTTTATTAGAGTTAAGATGGAAGATTCTGACAACAAGTATTACAAAGAAAGATGTGTGAAATAGTTGGGACCGCATCCTTGTCGAGGATCTGTAATTTGGCCTCCAGCGTATCATCCACCACTAGAGATTGTTTTAACCACCCACAACATGTAAAGTTCAACACATGTCATTTCATGTATTCTCTCATTCAAACACTCGCATTACTTTCTCACTTGTGGTATTTGGATTGAACTATAGTGTCAACAAGGGTAGTTTCATGGTTCGACAGAAATTGTGTATTAGTCAAAGTCTGTTCAAGCATGTTGTCGAAATATGTTAGCTTTTTGGTTAAGTTAGCATGTCGAATTGAGCTTTGCTTGTAAGCATAATTGTTAAGTTAGCCTGCAGCCTAAGTTATCTTAATAGTCTATAAATTAACTAGTTCTCTCATGTTGTTAAGAGAGGTTAATTGTTGGTATTCACTTGTAATTTGTGAATCCTTATTGAGTAAGTGAATAGTAAAATAGCTTTAACCAATTTTTTTTCTTCTTTCTTATCTATCTTTTGTAAAAACTTAATAAGGTTTTTTGTGTTTGATCAAGAAACTCAATCTTTTTTTCATATTTTGGTTTGTTCTTGAGGACATCAATTCACAAAAAATTAGTGCAGTGAATGTGGAAGAGAAGATGTCGTCAACAAAATATGAGATTGAGAAAGTCACCGGTGTGAATGATTTCGGATTGTGGCGCTTGAAGATGCAAGTCCTTCTTGTTCAACAGGTTTTATTAAAAGCATTGAAAGGATCATAGGAGATGAACGATGCCATATCAGAGAAGAAGAAGACAAAAATGTGTCGCACCTTGAAAAATTAATTCGAGAACACGACCCTCATGCAAAAGGCGTCGAAATGCAATTCGACAGAGTCGTCATCGAACTTTATTTATCCCAAAGAGATGGAAAAGGAAAGTATCGAGAAAACCTTTTAAAACGAAAGGACAGGAACACGGTTGTTGCAACCAATGTTCCGGTCTGGAGTCGGTTACACATGGGGAAGGTATTAGCACCCCTCACGTCCGTTGTACTCAACGGGAACCTCTTAGTGCGAATTGTGATGAATGTTAGTTAAGCATAGTTGTTTTCTTCTCAATGATAAATAAGAAACGGTACGATAAAGGGATAACGATGTTAGGGAATAATGGGTGGTTTAAGATTAGGGTGCTCGGCAAGGATTGAGGCCTCTGTGCCTACGTATGTTCATTCAGACGAGAATGAGAAATCAGAGCTCTCATAGTTCGACTACAGAAAAGAAAAGGGGGGAAACAGAAGATAGAGGGAATTGTGCTTGCCAAGATCATCACAATCTTGTGCCTACGTATCTTACATTCAGACGAGAATGAAGAACCAGAGCGTCCGTAGTTCGTGGGGACGGCCACGAAAGGAGAGGGGAGAAATGGTTGAAGTTTGATTGGACGACGATTACTCGAAGCTTAAGAAAGGCTCATCAGGCCCAAGTAATCGGGAGAGTGAGTCAAAGACTTGATCTCTCTCCTTTTATCTTGAAAAGAAGTTGTGTTTGAATGGTGTTTGAATAGTTAATGGTTGGGAGATAGGTGAATGTTGTCGAGTTGGAAGTGTTTTAGAGGCGTCAATGACTCATACACGAGTAAGATAACTCGCATCCAAACAACTGAAGAGAGATCAAAGGCTCAATCCCCCTCTTTTTCACCTTGAAAGAGTTTCGATAGTTTGTTAATTGCTTTGATAGTTTGATTGAGAAAAGTCATCTGACGTTGGATCAAGGGTTTGACTTATATTTGTGTGCAAAACCATGGTGGAATGGAAGTTGGTTTCAAAGTGGCTCGACGACGTGTTGAGGTTTTGATTGAAAATGGAACCGACTTGACGAAGAATCAAGGGTTAAGTTGTGAGAAACAATACTAGTCCCTGAGGGTGCTCCTAATAACGAAACCACGATGAAATGTGAGAGTGTGCGCGATAGGTTGATGGCGAACGCGAACGAGCACTTGACTTACGGGGGTGTTTGAAAAATGGCTTGATGACGAATCGAGAATTAGTTTAAAAACAGTTTAGTCTACGCTAATCGATAAGGGTACTCTTAGAAGATAAACCACTATCAAAGCAAAATTTGAATGCGTACATCATAATGGGGAAGAGGTACATGTAAGTTACACAGGGTTGCACAAAATAAAAGGGTTCATTGTCAGGTAACCCAAGAGAAAGTCGTGTATGTGCAAAGTGTCATAAACTATGCCTTGAGCAAGAATCAAACAAAAGCTCAGAGTTCGGGTTTCTGATAAAGTCCAAATTCCGTTGCTCGAATAAGTAACCAACAGTCCACCAATTTAGGCTTTTAGGTTTTGATCGTTTATTATGTGTTTTGAAAAGAATGTGAATAAGAGATGAACAAGATGAATGTGAATATGAACAATATGAATAATATGGCAAGATATATAACAATATAATCAAGATGATATTCACAATAATATAATCAAGATAATATTAACAAGTATATGAACAAGATAATATAAATTAAGATATAATGACTGAATTTAAGACATGAGTATATTGACTGAAAAGTAAAACAAGAATATGTTGATGGAAAGTAAAGTTAGTCGTTAGTTGATGTGAATTGAATCGGGACGAAATGTAGCGCTGAACCGTCATAGCTCGATCTATAACGTAGATCGAACTATAAGAGGTCGCACAAGTTGATATTTGTGCTAAAAACACGACGGAAGAATGATATTGAGGATCATTTTCCAAGGTAATCGTGTCATACGGACTAAAAAATGGATGATCTCGTCTTAATCACAAACCTTTGTTAATTAATCGAGGGTAACTTATCACAATCTCAAAGTATAAAAAATGATTTAAATGATCATTTTCTACAGATTTGAAATAATGAAGATTAACAACCTCGATAAATCAATGTTTACAAATAAAAGCCATTCATTGATCGAAATTGAAATAAATAAATAAAACGAAGAGAGAATGAAAAACGAAAAAAAACAAGGTGGAAATGAAAATAATCACCAAAGACAACAAAGCCAAATTATTAAAACAAAATCCTAAAAAAAACAAATAAAGAGAAACAATTTAAAATCAAATATTAACAATTGAATAACTAGTTTGTGTAACTACTGTAGATGATATTTGCAAAAACAATTAACAATAATATTGACAAAATGATTTTTTACTAGAATCCTCTAACAAATTATTAATAAAATAGATCAATAAAAGACTAACAAAAATTAATAATAAACAAAAAATGTGTGAAGAACATATGAGGCGTGTTGATAAGAAGGGTGGTGAAATGATTATGAAGGAATCGTGTGGGCTTCAAAAGCCCATCACCCCTCATCAAAAAGACAACACGGACAACCCACAAAGGGAAGGCGGATAAGCATGAGCTATAATGGTCATCATCCACTTTCAAAAAAATCCATAATCAGATTCCTCTTTTTCTAAAAATATTCAACACAGTCAAAATCCACTATGAAAACTATATCCATCTCTACACACAAAGCCATGGAACTAGCTTAGAGTCAAATGTAAATTCCTTGCTCAGAAGAAGAAACAGAAACTCTTCCATCATCGCACTTCACAGTCCAAATCAAGGGCGCAAGAACAAATCAACAATAAAAAGTTAGGGGCAACAGTATTCAACGGATCTAACCTTTCACAACGAAAATGATCCCAAATCCTTATTTCGTTCTCGCTTGCCTCGTCCAGTTTGCTTCACGTTCATGGTGCGGTTTCGATCTAGGTTTGGTTTGTTGTTATTGTTCAACTTTGTTTTGGGTTCTTTTCGTATCTTATTTCTACTTTTGAATCGATTTGGTGGAGGAATGATTTTGGATTTGAAACGGGTTTGGGTTGAAATGAAAGAAGTTTTGCGTGTGATGTTGGTTGAAGCGGTTAATGTTGTGTTTATGAGTTGTGAATGGAGAAAGTTGAAAGAGTTTGGAAGGTTGATTACGAAGGGTTTACTGTGGAAATTTGGCAGTGTAAAAGTGGCCAGAAAGAGCCTCCAAAAAAGAGAGAGAGGTGTATACTTTTATAGGCGAGATTGAGGTGAGGATTTTATGAAAACCATATTGTTGTTGCGTTTTACAGGTTGTCAATTTATTGTACGGATGCTTTTTGTGCTTGCGTTGCGTATGGCTCGTAATATCATGGTGTGGTCTTGTGCGCTGTGTTTGGGTTATCTTTTTGTTGCTGTATAAAATTTTGAAGGTTGGCTGCAAGAATTTTTTTTGAGTGCAAGAATTTTGTCATTTGCGTGCAATGGCTTATAGAACATTGGCTTGGAACATGGGGTGTGATGAAGTCACATGGAGTGTATTTGTTTTACACGTATCGTCAATGCTATTGTTTGGCTGAAGGAACTAGATGGTGTGGTGTGAGGCTAGTGTGATGATTGTATAACGGTTTATAAGATAGTGTTTTGGCTTGTGGTTTAGTTTTGTTTAAAA